CGGGGTCACCCCGACCTAGGCCCCGCCCACTACAGAGAGGCGGCTACGGCGGCCGGATAGGGTCCTGATTCTTCCTACCGCAAGCGGGCGGCGGTGCGGGTGACGACAGTACAGCCAAGTCGATCCCGAGAAAGCTTACTTCGGAAGCCTGGGCTAGAAAAGACGTCGCTAAACTGCAGGGCGTCGCGCTTAGCGCGACCGGTGAACTTAAGCCCCGCCTCCAAGAGGCTCCGCCCCTGCGCCGGCGGTTGCTAGGCGGCCAGAAAGCGCCAGCTCAGTGTGGGCGGTACAAGGGGGAGCGAGGAGGGAGGTGCCTGACGCCTCGCAGCGCTGGGAATCGGCTTTCGCGGGCCTGATTGGGCGCGCAGCGGCGTGGGCTGGGAATCGTCCACGAGGCCGCCGGGCGGGGGCGCCCGATGGGCCTTGGGCGGCTGGGAAAGCCTCGGAGCCGGAAGCCGCCGACTTTGGGGCCTGGAGTTACCTCTCAAAAGGTTTTCAGAATTTTTTTTTTTTTTTACCATGGGCTGGAGTTTCTCAGGTCTTAAACTAATTTTCTACGTCCTTTAGTCTCTGAAGTCCCCAACCTTTTGTTTTCTCTTTAACATACTTAAGTGTATGTTCCTCACTGGGAATCAAGAGTTTGTCCCTTAATACTAATAGAAATAAGTAATAATGACAATAATTATCTTATTAACAAGAATAGTAAGCTCTAACACGGCCTTTACTGTGTGCCCAGCTCAGTCCTAAACCCCTTACACATGCTTATCTATTCAACAACCAAAGTAGGTGGGCACGATTATTATTCCCAACCTAATAGATGAGGAAACTGAGGCATAGAGAAGTAATTGGTACAAGACCACGCAGAAGGGAAGTGGGAAGCCAGGATCCAAACCTAGGTAGTCTGCCTTTAAAACCTGTGATCTCGCATAACTAATTGCTGTAGTGTGTCATAATGGGGCTGTATTTCATATTTCATTCTGTATTTCACGTCCTAACCCATCCTAACCCGTACCGTCTAACCTAACGGTAGAAAGTGTAAACCCATCCAGGCAGGCATCCGGAAGATTTGGACGTGTCACTGCCCTCCAGTCAAAGACCACTTGAAATACCACTGTAGTTGAACAAGTTGGATTTATTTCTCGTTGCTGCGAGGAAAAGACCTACTTTGGGAAACAGTGGGGAATCTCAGTAAGAGGGTGTTAGAAAGATTTATTATAGGATTTGGGCTTCATTGGGTGATTTTGGGACGAGTTCAAGGAAGTGGAGCTTTGCTCTGGGTTGGTTGTCATTAGGAAGCCAGAGTAACACCAAACCCCAGCTGTGAGTGCCAGGCCAGCTCCCAGATGTTAAGGGCTGCTTTTCTCCTGGAAAGAATTGTATGTTACAAGCCACCCTATCCACATTCCTAAGAAGATATATTGAGAAGACTCTGAAGGCTCTGCATTAGTAGTGCAATGACGAATATATAATATATATTAAAATGTGCTTTATAAATTAGGGCAGGAGTTTTTTGTTTTTTTTTTTATCCTCACCCGAGGACATTTTTCCATTTTTTGTTCAGGTAGAGTGGGAGGGAGAGAGAGGAACAGAGAGAGAGAGAGAGAAACATCGATGTGAAAGGAACACATCGAGTGGCTGCCACCCGCACAACCGACCAAGGCCGGGGACAAACTGCAACCGAGGTACGCGCCCTTAGCGGAAACGGAACCCGGGTCTCTCAGGACCGCAGGCCGATGCTCCAACCGCTGAGCCAAACCAGCCAGGGCTTTTTTTTATTTATTTATTCAGACAGAGCGGGAAGGAGAGAGAGAAACATCGACGTGAAAGGAACACATCGAGTGGCTGCCACCCACACAACCCAACCAGGGCCGGACACAAACTGCAACCGAGGTACGTGCCCTTAGCGGGAACCGAACCCGGGTCTCTCTGGACCGCAGGTCAACGCTCTAACTGCTGAGCCAAACTGGCCAGGGCAGGGCAGGAGTTCTTAATTCAGGGAGTATGTGAACTTGGATGGGGGAAATTACAGCTTTATTTTTACTAACCTCTAACTGAACTTGAGCATTTCTTTCGATTATAGTGTAGGCAACAAACCACAGTAATATCAGCAGTAACTGTGACTTTGTCATCAAGAGAAAGCACAGATATCTTCATATGTTATAGTCATGGAAGATTTCTTGAGATATAATCTCTACTCATTACCAGTTCATAAGTCCAGTAGTGATTCGAGCTCTCATTTTTTAATGCATAAAGAAGGCACATATTTCTATAATTTTGTTTTTGAAAATATTCCAACAATGATTTCAATATAATTGAAGGTTTTGTAATCCTATATATTTTATGTTATGCGTTTTTAAAAACATAGTTCTTGGAAGGAGTCTGTCTGTAGGGGTCCACAACTCCAGAAGAAAAGATAAAGAGCCCCTGGTTTAGTAGAAGAAACTAAGCAGTGACTAAGAATTTGGGAACTGCCCTGGCCAGTTTGTCTCAGTGGTTAGAGCATCGGCCTGCGATCCAGAGATGGCCGCTAAGGGCCCCGTATCTCAGTTGCAGTTTGTCCCCGGCCCTGGTTGGTCGTGCGGGTGGCAGCCACTTGATGTGTCCCTTTCACGTCGATGTTTCTCTCTCTCTCTCTCAGTTTCTCTCTTTCTCTTTCTCTGTCTCTCTCTCTCTCCCCCCTCCCACTCTATCTGAACAAAAAATGGAAAAAAATGTCCTCGGGTGAGGATTAAAAAAAAAAGAATTTGGGAACTGCATCCCAACTGGAGTAATGTATCAAAGAATAGAAAATCAGAGATGGAATCAGATCATTTAGTACTCACCCTCTCCCTTTACCAAGGCAGGATCTGTGTTACTGAGAGGTTAAGGGACTTGCCCAAAGCTTCACAGCTAATCCGTGATGAAACCGGGGTGGAAAATTTTTAGACAAGCATGTAAAAGCCCTCCACTCTGCTCAGCATTGGGGAGTCCATAGTTAGCAAGATGCCTGCTGCCCTCAATGAGCTTGTGGTGGTGACGGCCAAGAAAACAAATTATAATGCAATATGAGAACTGTAAAAGAAAAACATATACAGTATTATGGGACCTTAGAGACAGGAGTGAGCAGTTCTGTAAAATAGGTGGAAAACTTAAAGAGGCACTAGTTAGCTGGGGTCTTCAAGGATGAATTGGTGTTTGCTGGTGGCAAGGAAGCCATTCCAGGTAGAGGACATGACATGATCAGCAGCCCAGAGTTGTAAAACATTGATTTTGGCAAGAATTTCATGTTCTCACCCTGGCCAGTGTGGGTCAATGGTTAGAGTGTCGGCCTGTGCACCAGAGGGTCTCAGGTTCAATTACTAGTCCAAGGCACGGGCCTAGGTTGCAGGTTTGATCTCTGGCCCCAGTTAGGGCACGTGCAGGAGGCAACCAATTGATGTGTCTCTCACATCTATGTTTCTCTCTCCCGTTCCCTCTCTCTCCCTTCTACTCTCTCTAAAAATCAATGGAAAAAATATCCTCAGGTGAGAATTTCTTTAAAAAAAGTTCTTGTTCTCACTGAGCGTAGAGAGGAATGCTGATGAAAGTTGGTATTTTAAGATTTGAAAGAGAAAATAGAACTAAATTGTGAAAAGGCTTGAACGGCATTCTAAAGAGTCTGGACTTCAGCTTGTAGGAAATGAGGTATCCCTGAAAGATTTTAAGTTGGGGAGTGATAAGGATGGATTATTGCTCTAAAAAGTTAACTCCAGCTGCAGTGTGGAGAATGAATAGGATGTTTAAGAGCCTGGAGACAGGAGAGCAGTTAGACGGTGATTGGATAGGTACCCTTGTCTTTCCCATATTCCTCATAATATGTTTAGTATACAAAGACTGTAAACTGTAAGCAATATTACGAGATACAGGATGCCTTCCTTTATAAGGGATTCTGGAATTACTGCAACAATCATAAGACACTTGAGTCTCATCCAAACAGTGTAATAATATAGATTATGACCTAAAATGCTTAATTTATGCACTTTCAGACTACTTCATTATAAGAAAAATGTATCTTACCTCAATGGTAGCAGTCAAAGGTGTTCAAAAATCAATTCATCCAAGGTTGGAAAAAGACCACAAAGTACCTTTGCCAAATACTGAAGAGACAAAGGCAGTACCACCACTGTGAGTACCATCTTTTGCCTTGTATCATTTTCCACAATTGAACAGTTTACATAGGTATTTACCCAGCTAACATCAAACACTTCTTGTTTTGTAAATTATAGGTTTTTGTGTGTGTTTTAAAATTACTTTTGAATTGAATAATTATTATAATTATAGTATTTCACAATTTACAACGCATGTTAATGCATATCTCTTTGATCATGACACAACCCTGTGAAGCAGTCTTATTATTACAATTTATAAGTGAGGAAGCCACAACTGGGAGAAGGTAAGTGGTTTGCAGAAAGTTAGACAGCTAATAAATGGCATCAGCTCAGATTCAAAGGATTGTTTCCATACTCCAGGCCTTTTCTACTCTACACCTTGTAGTCTGCATTTTGCCAAGGGTGATATTATACAGGAACACCTCTCTTTGCCCTTGTAGCCATGTGGGGGCTAATGATGGGGTTGGGGGGTCGGGGAGAAGGAGATCCCTGTGACCTCCTAATGCTGGGATATGATCAAAAGTAAAATAATTCTCTGACCTGACTGGGATGAACCTGGTTCAAGCATAGATAACAAAGGAATTTCTTTTCAAGGATATGGTCATCTGCTCCCAGAAGAGAAATGGACCTACTATAAACTTCAACGATTCCACATTCTCTTTTCTTAGCACTTGAACTAGTTGGACATTGTTTTTAAGAACTAACTACAGCGGAATCATTTTAGGTCATGGATGTTTTTAGAAAACGAGTTTGTCTCCTCACACATTATTTATAATATATGTGCCCTTTGATGATAAAGATTTAGGATGGTTTTTAATCTCAAGGGAAATATTCTCAAGTATTCCATATCCTTATTCTAACTAGATTCTGCCAATGACCAGTTCCAATTACCACATTCAACTGTTCCTCATTAGGTCAGTCTTAGGGTGGGGGATGGAGAAGTGCAGGAAGAGGAAGCATAAGTAAATTCAGAGTTCCCCAAGATTTTAGGAAAATGAAAACAACTTCACAAATCTTAACCTATTCTTTTCTCTCAGAACTCCTAGAGATACTTCAGCTCTAATGATACAAAGAGCTTGGCTATCTCATATGGACAAGACAATATTTCAACTCCTAAAGCACACAATTTGTGCAGCGGTATGTATTTGGCTTTTTGTTTTCTCTGACAGATTTAATTACTTATCAAGCTAAACTATCTGTTAAGTAGAGGTAAAATATGTAACCTTTTTTTCTCTTCTATTTAAACATAATATTATTGCATGGGGTTCTGGGATTGCTTCTTTGATTAGCCCTAAATGAATATTTCTGAATGTATGTTTAACATAGGTGACTGTTATTTCTTTTTATGAAACACACATGATATATTTTTTTAATTCAGTTTCTTATTTGAAGATGTGAGATAGTGATCATCCAACAATAAAAATCTCTGAATTAAAAGTGCCCTTACCTTCCACCCAGCAATACATCTACAATATATGTACCATTTCACTGCTGTATAGTTTGTAACAGCAAAGAAAGTAAACCATATAATGTTCACCAATATGATGCTGATTAAATAAGTGTTCATGTTTTCATAGTGTTAAACCTCGTTGCATATATTCTGCGGTAGAAAGATAGCTAAAGTGTTGTGTAAGTGAAAAAGGCAAGTGCGTAACAGTATGAATAATGCCGTCTATTTGAATAGGAAAAAATGCATATCTCCCACTCCCCCAATAAAATAACTCTGGCAACCCTGGCAGAGTATTAAGACTTCCTTCATATAGTACCAAGTATTCTCCTAATAAAATCACCCATGATTACAATAGTCTATAATTAGTAATAGTCACATTAAGGGAATTTTAACCCCTTGGAAAAAAATCTGAGCAAAAAAATAAAGTCTGAGAAATGTGTACACTTCTTCATCATCTGACCCACAGACCCATTTGTGATGTGAGTGAAAGCAGAATACCTCCGAGAAAACCCACCCAGGTAAACTTGTGACATTGCAGGTTCTTTGTCCATCGTCTTCACATACGGAACTTGTATTTAAGCATCATGATACTGGTTTTGTTATCACTTTAGAGTCTTTCAGTAACAGAAAGAAGGAAATTAATTCTTTTTTTTTTTTTCATCTGTTATCCTAATGCTTCAAGTTATGAGCTTACATTAATAATGCTTTGTCATTTTAAAATCCCTTTGGCTTCCATTTTGATGTGATTGTCATAGACATAAATGTTGGGCAGGGTCATATTGGGGGAAAGTGGGGCTTTAAAGTCAAACAGATTGAAGTTTGAATCCTGGCTTCCCCACTTACTGCCTGTATGCCTTTGGATAAGTTATAGACACTCCCAGAGCCTTAGCCTGCTCATTTGTAAAATGGGAATGATAATCAAATCACATTGCTAAGTTATAAGGATTAGGTGAAGTTATGTGTGTAAGGCACCTAACATAGTATGTAGTACATTAAAAGTGCTTAAAAGCTAGTAACAGTACTATTATCCTCATTTTATAGGGGTTCATTCAATATAAAATATTTATTAAGCACCTGCTGTGTTCCAGGCACTGTATTAGATGCTGGGGATACAGTGGTAAAGAAGAAGGACGCTGCCCCCACCTTCATTAAGCTTACATTTGGCAGGAGATAAAAGGGAGTTTATAGTTAATTACAATATAGTGTGAGAAGTATTGTCATAGGGAAAGAACAGTGCCTGGGACCTCGAGGAGGGACACATACCCAAACTTAGAGGCCAAAAGGATGAAGTAACTGACTCCAGGCTACATAGATGATAAGTGGAGAAGCCAAGACTGGAACCCAGGCCTTCAGAACTCCAAGTCTGGTGTACTGTTCACTTTATCATGCCGCCTCTGTTATTTGCAGTGAATTGCATCTGGGCAGGGTACCACCGTCCATTTATAGCACCATCATCTATTTCAGGAATATTGTGTGACACATGAAATACTGAAGAATGTGAGCCCCTTAGAGGCTGAGCTTGTTAAAGATCCTAGCATGAAGTGTAAAGTTAGATTCAGGTAATGTTTCTATGTTGATTTATGTCAAAGTGTACTTAGTTAATATGCAGAAACCTTAGAAATTTTTATCTTAAGTCCTCATAACTTCTCAGTTCATAATTACAAAGTAAATGTGTTCTTATTTACATTTCTTATGTGAAGAAACTGAGGCATGACTCTTGGACCAAAAGTTGCCTTGAGAGTGACTCTCGTGTCCCATGATGTGTCCAGTCTGACATACATATGAAAATTGTTGGGAGCACACACACCTAAGTGTGGCTCTTTCATCTTCTGTAATCCATTTCATTACAGTTGGTTCTGTGCTCTGGCATAGCCTTTACCCTGCATGCAAGAAACTATGTGAACTGTCTTAAGCACGAGGGGGACAAGTAACTGAACCCCAAACCTGATGCCAAATGATAAATTTTTTATCTTTATTTCAGATTTAATGGTGAAACATTTCCACCTCTTATTATGTTTAAAATTTTTCTTCATACTGGAGGCCACGGCTACAAGTATTTCAGTGGAAAAAATATGATACAGTCATCAAGTAAGGTGATGTTTCACAATGTACATTCTATGTTATTTAGCTTCTTTTACATCTTAACAGCATAACATATATATGTAGTATCTGAATTGTATTTAAGTATACAGACTAAGTTATTTCACCATTAAACATCCCAGCAGGCAGTTAGTAATTTTTAAAGTATATGTTTCAAAGTGTCTTTGTCTATTAGCTAAAAAATATATTTGGAATAATTACTTATATAAGGCCCTAGAAAATACCCACCAATGCCCTGGCCAGTTTGGCTCAGCAGTTAGAGCGTTGGTCCAGAGAGACCCGGGTTCGGTTCCTGCTAAGGGCACGTACCTCGGTTGCAGTTTGTCCTTGGCCTTGGCCACTCGATGTGTACCTTTCACATCAATGCTTCTCTCTCTCTCTTCCTCTCTCTCCCTCCCACTCTATCTGAACAAAAAAATGGAAAAATGTTCTCAGGTGAGGATAAAAAAAAAAATACCCACCAATATTCTTTGTATTAAATTTTTGGTTTGGCCCTGGCCAGTTTGTTTGTTTGTTTTGTTTTTAATCCTCACCCGAGGATATTTTTCCATTTTTTGTACAGATAGAGTGGGAGGGAGAGAGGGGAAGGGAGAGAGAGAGAAACATCGATGTGAAAGGGACACATCGAGTGGCTGCCACCCGCACGACCAACCAGGGCCGGGGACAAACTGCAACCGAAGTACGTGCCCTTAGCGGGAACCGAACCCGGGTCTCTCCGGACCGCAGGCCGACGCTCTAACCGCTGAGCCAAACTGGCCAGGGCGGCCCTGGCCAGTTTGGCTCAGTGGGCGGCCCTGGCCAGTTTGGCTCAGTGGGCGGCCCTGGCCAGTTTGGCTCAGTGGGCGGCCCTGGCCAGTTTGGCTCAGTGGTTAAAGCGTCGGCCTGCGGTCCGGAGAGACCCGGGTTCGGTTCCCGCTAAGGGCACGTACTTCGGTTGCAGTTTGTCCCCGGCCCTGGTTGGTCGTGTGGGTGGCAGCCACTCGATGTGTCCCTTCATGTCGATGTTTCTCTCTCGCTCTCCCTTCCTCTCTCTCCCTCCCACTCTATCTGTACAAAAAATGGAAAAATATCCTCGGGTGAGGATAAAAAATAAATAAATAAATAAATAAATTTTTGGTTTGTTAATACAGGGGTGGGCAAAAGTAGGTTAATAATAATAACAATACAATAATGAATAAATAATAATACAAGAATAAACTCTGTTTCGTGTATTGACAACTGTAAACCTACTTTTGCCAACCCCTGTAATGGGCTTAAGTGGCCTGTGGGTCAGAACTTTAAAATTATGCACAACATTTGATGCAATTTTGTCTTAATGACATTTTATCATTGTTTCTTCAATTCTGGTAGCATATTTAGAAAAACTGTGCTGGACTATTGGAAATGAGCTTTTGAAATATTTATCCTTTTTAAAACTTGTAAGTTCATGAATATTCACCAAAATTGTGTCTACAGCATAGGAATCACCTGAGGATCTTGTTAAAAATGCAGTTTCTGATTCAGTGGATCAGGGATGGTGCCCAAATCTAAGCAGCTCCCAGGTGCTGCCACTGTTGCTGGTCCATGGGCCATACTTTTATTTTTTTTTATTTCTTTGATAATCCTCACCTGAAGATATATTTTTCACTGATTCTTAGAGAGAGTGGAAGGGAGGGAGGGAGAGGAAGAGAGAGAGAGAGAAACATCAATGTGAGAGACACACATCGATTGCTTGCGTCACACATATGCCAGGGATCAAACCTGCAACCCAGGTAGGTGCCCTTGACTGGGAATCGAACCCATGACCCTTTGGTGCACAGGCCAGTGCTCTGACCACTGACCCATACCAGCCAGGGCATCGATGGGCCACCCTTTAATATCAAGGATCTATACCACAGGTTTTACTCCTTTGGCCCTTACATATGACTGTAATTGAGTTTTTAAAAATGTGTACATCCTCATATTTAGCCTCTTATAAACCATAAATCAAAGGATATTTTCCTGTAGCCTTCTGGAAATATTTTACATGAGAAGTGTGGCCCCTCTGAAATAATCGGTAATGGCATGATTTCAGGATAGAAGACCACACAGCCTGAAGTTTCTGATCACCTCCAGCATGAGTAGTGTTTATTCTCCGAAGAATATTAGAAAAGGAAAAGAGACTGCTTTTCTCCGTTCTCAGGCAATGACAGAGAAAATTTAACTCAATTTCAGAAATGTATCAAATGGATTATGTGTTTTCATATGGCATATGGTGTTTCAGAAACATTAATATTTGTTCATTTATATAGGATGACTTCAAATGCGAAAGTAGATGTTTATTTTACATTCATGCCACGTTTATCTACAGAGTAAGCTTAGAGTTGGCCCTATAAAATATCATCAATTGCTGCTTTTCTGAGGTTACATAATGGGGCCTTTCCAGGAACTGAAATTCTCCTGGGTCAGCTCCTGGAGGCCCTACTGTCCCCAGGCTGGAGCAAATAAGAACCTTGGACGCCGTGACTGGAAAGCACTGTGTGTATATTAAAACTCATAAAAATGCTGTATAATAACTTAAATTTTTACTTAAATTGCAAAGTAACTGTTTTACACAAGGAAATAGCCCAGAGATTTTTTTTTAAAAAAGGAAAATATGCCTCTATGCCTTTCTTCTCTGTGCTGCAACTTTCACTCGCCTGGGTACTTACTGTTAACAGTTTGCTGTGTAGCCTTCATTTTTTCCCCCATGAAAATACACATGCAAATATATTTTTAAATTTTTGTTCTTTTTATAAAAATGCAATCGTATCACTCAGCTTGAGTTTTTCACTAAACATTATAAGGGTTTTAAAATGATTAGGACGTACCCAGTTTGGAGAGAACAGGTTAGGGTTCCTTTTACCCTTTAATTCAGCTTCAAAACAAACTCTGGTAACACTTGGATTAATGGTTGATAGACGTGGAATTTTTCTCACTGTAAGTTTACTCAACTCCTTTGTTCTTTGAATGTAGAAATTGTGTCTTTAGGAAACTAATCCAACTTTCTTAAGTTTACTTATTTCTTAATATGAAAGAAATAAATCAGTGTTAGTCCATTCAGATGTTTAATCTAAGTTCACTTATGAAGGAGGGGTGTTTCACAGATTGTTCTTGTCGTTCCGGCTTTTTTCTTGTTTTTATTGCCATTTCTAATTTCATTTCCTTATCATTTTCCAGTGGCATCTTTCATGTATTTACACACACACACACACACACACACACACACACACAGAGCAAAAACAAGTGAAAGGATGTAGAGTAGCCTGGAGAAAAAGAGCAAAGTTAGAAAATTTACACCTACCTGATTTCAAGACCTAAAAAGACACAGTAATCCCAGCAGTGTAGTGATAACATAAAGATAGACACGTAGATCAATGAGATAGAATAGAGAATTCAAAAATAGACACACACATAGATGATCAGTTGATTTTCATCAAACATGCCAAGACAGTTCAAATGGTACTAGAACAATTGGTTAGCCATGTGTACAAAAAAAAGAGATCTTGTTTCAGTTACCTACTTCGATGATCTATTTTCAGAGCAATGCTTGTTTACAGAAGGTTGTCACTGTAGTTAGTCCACCAACTATATTTAGAATATTCTAAAACCTTGCTACTCAAACTGTGGTCTGCAGACCCACAACATTGGTATCCCCTGGAACATATTAAAAATGCAGACTCATGCCCTGGCCAGTTTGGCTCAGCAGTTAAAGCATCAGCCTGCAGTCCAGAGAGAGCTGGGTTCAGTTTCCCCTAAGGGCACGTACCTCGGTTGCAGTTTGTCCCCGGCCCTGGTTGGGTCGTGCGGGTGGCAACCACTCAATGTGTCCCTTTCACGTTGATGTTTCTCTCTCTCCCTCCCACTCTATCTGAACAAAATATGGAAAAATGTCCTCAGGTGAGGATAAAAAAAAAATGCAGACTCGTGCCCTGGCCAGTTTGGCTCAGCAGTTAGAGCATCAGCCTGCAGAGTGAAGGGTCACAAGTTCAATTCCCGGTCAAAGGCACATACGTGGGTTGCAGGTTCAATCCCTGGCTCTGGTCAGGGTTGTGCAGGAAGCAACCAGTGGATGTGTCTCTCTCAAATGGATGTTTTTCTCCCTCCCCCCTCTTTTTTCTCCTCCCTTCCTCCCTTCCAGTCTATCTAAAAAATCAGTGGAAGAATATCCTCAGGTGAGAATTATCAACAACAAAAAATGCAGACTTGCCCTGGCCGGTGTGGCTCAGTTGGTTGAGCATTGTTCCATACACCAAAAGGTCACTGGTTCAATTCCCAGTTAGGGCACATGTCCAGGTTGCACGCTCGATCCCCAGTAGGGGGTGTGCAGGAGACAGCAGATCAATGTGTCTCTCTCCCTCTCCCTCTTAACTCAATAAAAACATATTTTTAAAAATGCAGATTCTCAGGATCCACCACAGACCCACTGAATCAGCATCTGCCTTATAACGAGATGCCCAGATGATCCTGGGCACAATATAGTTTGACGAGCACTGTCCTAAAGGCGCCCCCCACCATGGCCTGGAATACTTCTGGGTAATTGACAATTCTTAAATGTTAACATCAGTAACTATTATTTTCTTTCTTTATTTTTTCTTTTTTGTTAATCCTCACCCAAGGATGTTTTTCCATTGATTTTTCCTAGAGTGAAAGAGAGGGAGGGAGAGAGAAAGAAACATCGATACATCAATGTGAGAGAGACACATCAATAGGTTGCCTTCCACACGGCCCCGACTAGGTCTGGAGATCAAACCCAAAACCCAGGAGCATGCCCTTGACCGGAAATCAAACCCACAATCTTTCGGTCTGTGGGATGACGCTCTAACCACTGAACAAACCGGCCAGGGCAGTAACTGTTATTTTCAGTTGAAGATCCTGTTCTTTTTGAGGATTGTGCATTTATGTAAAAAGGAAAAACATTAATATTAATCATAGCTGCTCTTATTGAACACTATCAAGCATTTTATGTGCATTATTAAATTCTCATAAACTCTAGAGTGCAGATTCTGTTATTATCTTCATTTTATTTTATTTTATTTTATTTATTTATTTTTTTTATCCTCACCCGAGGACATTTTTCCATTTTTTGTACAGATAGAGTGGGAGGGAGAGAGAGGAAGGGAGAGAGAGAGAGAAACATCGACGTGAAGGGACACATCGAGTGGCTGCCACCCACACGACCAACCAGGGCCGGGGACAAACTGCAACCGAAGTACGTGCCCTTAGCGGGAACTGAACCCGGGTCTCTCTGGACCGCAGGCCGACGCTCTAACCGCTGAGCCAAACTGGCCAGGGCTTCATTTTAAAGAGACTAAGTAACTTGCCTAAGGTCCCATAACTAGAAAGTGAAGGAACCGCCCTGGTCAGTTTGGCTCAGCAGTAGAGTGTTGGCCCGCAGACCACTGAGTAGCAGGTTCAATTCCAGTAAAGGGCACCTACCTTGGTTGAGATTTGGTCCCTGGCACTAGTTGGGGTCATGCGGGAGGCAACCAGTCGATGTGTCCCTCTCATGTCGATGTTTCTCACTCTCCTTCCCACTCTATCTGAAGAAAAATAGAAAAATAACATCAGGATTTTTTTTAAAAAGAAAGAAAATGAAGGAACTGACATCAATACCCAGTGAGCCTGACTCCAGAACCCATGCTTTTAACCACTCCTGAGTCAGGAACCCCACTAAATACGTTTTCTTATATGGCCCCCGATACAACATGCCGTTCCCTATTTGCCTATGAGGAAGCTGACACTTGGAGAGGCTTGTCAGGGCCAGAACTGAGACTTGAACACTCCTCCGTGTACTGTGCACCTTTTTAGGCAGTTACGGTGATTTTATTAATTCTGAGCCTATATATAACTGAACTGTTTCAAACCAAGGAACTGTTCCCATGCAGAGATACTAGTTATTACACCTTCGTGGGTGAGAATTTCCAGCCTGGCAGGGAAGAGACTTGACATGTTAGAGTAACTTGATAAGTCCAAGTATGGATCTAGGCCAGCAAGTAGCCACAGGGCTGTGGGGGCTTCTGGGCTACACTGATGCTGAGTATCAGGGGAGGTATCAAATTTAGAGATGCCCCCCTCTGACCCTTGAGTCACCCACTAAGAATGGAACCTGCCTCTTGAATCCTAGTCTGATTGGCGGCTATCCTGGAATTTGCCTAGTTTTCCCCCTTCCCTTTCTTTTGGGGCTGGGCTCTTCTTTCCCATCCCTTCCTATCCAGAAGGACTTTCCTGAATCCGGCCATACATGGCAGATGTATGAAAAAGAACATCTTGGCCATTGGAGAGCAAACTTTTTTCAAACCCCTCTCACAAGTGGGCAGCAAGCCTGCCTGTGCTGCCAGGCGCGGGGATTTTTTGGCTGAGACTGGAATGGGCCCGACACAGCTGAGGCACTATACAAATAAAGAAACTGAGCTTGGGGAGATTGGTGGTGGAGGCTGAGTGGAGTAGAGTTGGAGGGAACAACTAAGAAATTTTAAGTAACTTGTTCTAAAGTAAAATATAATTATATCTAAAGAAATGCCCAAAGCAGAAGTTAAGTGGTTTTTCAGACCTGTTCAATATATAACTATTTGCTTTTACCTTTAGAGTCACTGTGGGAATGGTTAATTAGAAGCCACAGAAAATTAATTGCAAGAAAGCATAATGGAGATACGTGCCAACACTGCCTTTTGTTTAGATGCATAGTGTAGAAAGAGACTAATGAAATGGGAAACCAAAATGATCTGCCTAAAGGAAGGTTCCATCACATTTTTAGTAAACTATTTCTGTCCCTTTAATTTAGTGCATTAGGAATAAAACTACAACCATTTGAATACAGAGGGAGACAAAAGTAGGTTTACAGTTGTTCAAATGGAAAACAATACAATAATAATGCAAGAATAAACTGTTTCACATACTCACAACTGTAAACCTACTTTTGTCCCACCCTGTATTTTCTTTTATTTTGCATATGTATCTGTGTGCTAAGCTTTGAAATTTTAAAAAAAAAGCAATATTCTAGATAACAACCGTGACATGTGCATGGAAGTGTTAGGTACGGATAGAGCCAGATAGGATTTGAGCCTCGGTATTTTCTGAGATTTTTCTATCTTTGCCCTCTCAGGTGTTTTCCTTGAGTACCAAATGTAAAAAACCCTCTGTTCGCCGATCTTTGGTTCCTGAGAATGAAATCTGAAGGAGAGGGAGGTCTGAGCAATCGAAACATACATGTTTCCATGTGGGGGCCATATATTAACTAACACAGAGAGTTGGCCCAGTAACACCTTTTATTGCAGTTCCTAGGCCAACCTATTTAATATGGGTTTTCTCTGCATGGACAAACACGAAAGGCCATATAGGATTTGTTTTGTTTTTTAAGGGGTAAAAGACATCTTTTAAAAACTGGTCCTCTCCCTGACTGGGTGGCTCAGTTGGTTGGAGTGTCATCCCATAAACCAAAATGGTTGCAGGTTCAATTCCCAGTCAGGGCACATACCTAGTTTTGGGGTTCCATCCCCCATCCGATAAATGTTTCTCTCTCTCTCTCTCCCCCTTCCTCTCTCTCTAAAATCAATAAAAACATATCATTGGGTGAGCACTTTTTTAAAAATTTAGAACTGGTCCTCCAAGGATTGTAGACGCATTTGGATTGTACTCCTCTACTGCATTTTAAAACTATGTAGATATGGGTATAGAAACTAATTTTAAGTTGTTTTTAAAATCCCTATATAATATTTTCTTTGTAAATACAGTCAATTTATTGAATAGCAAGCTGCTAGAAGAACGGAATAATATTTGATGTATTTGTCAGAAAAATATGTAAAGTGTGTGCTATTTAATTATTGCTATTATACTACTATTTTAAAAGTCTGTTTTCTATTCTCTTTATAGGCATTAAGTGATGCTTGCAAAATAATGGGTAGGAAGAAGTTTTATGAACAAATTTTGGAAGATGAACGTCTTTCCCAGAAGTTCAAAATAACTGATGAAATCGATATTGTCACTGTGCAAGATTACATGAAAGTAAGGAATTTAGATTTAGATATTGAAAACAAACAAACACCAACAAAAAGCCTTCTGACTCTATCCTCCAAGAATCATACATTTTTTATTGTGGTAAAATGCACACAATACATTCCTTGCCTGGTGTGGCTTAGTTGGTTGGGCATCATCCCATGCACCAAAAGGTTGCTGGTTTGATTCCTGGTAGGGGGCATGCAGGAAGAAGCCAATCCATTTTATGCTGTCACATCAGTGTTTCTCTCTCCCTCTCCCTTCCTATCTCTAAAAAAATTAAGTATTCTTTAAAAATACACACAATATAAAATGTTGCAATTTTAAAGTGAACAATTCAGTGGCATTAAGTACATTCACAGTTTTGTGCAAACATCACCACCATCTACTTCTAGAACTTTTTGTCACCCTAAAAGGAAACCTCATATTCATTAAGCAGTCACTCCTGGTTCCTTCATCACTACAGCCCTTATCAACCACTGATCTGCCTTATGTCTCTCTGAATTTGCCTATTCTGGATATTTCATACTAATGGAATCATATAATGTGTGGCTTTTTGTGTCTGGGGAGTGATAGCTAAGGAATGTAGGGTTTCTTTTTGGTGTGATGGAAGTGTTTTGGAATTAGATAGTGGTGATATATGGTGTGAACTTACCAAAAACCACTGAATTGTATACTTTAAAATGGTTAAATGGTAAATTTTATATTTCATATCAATAAAAAATCAGCCCTTGCTTGGCCAGTGTGGCTCAGTGGATTGAGCACCGCCCCATGGACTGAGAGGTCCTGGTTCAGTTCTCAGTCAAGGCACATGCCTGGGTTGCGGGCTCCATCCTCAGTGGCGGGGGGGGGGGGGGGGGGGGCTGCAGGAGGCAGCCAATCAATGTTTCTCTCTCTCTCTCTGTTCCTCTCTTTCCCTCCCACTCTACCTGAACAAAAAAAAATGGAAAAATGTCCTCGGGTGAGGATAAAAAAAACAAACATATTTTAAAAAATCAATCCTGGCCCTGGCCGGTTTGGCTCAGCAGTTAGAGCATCGGCTTGCAGTCCAGAGAGAGCCGGGTTCGGTTTCCACTAAGGGCATGTACCTCGGTTGCAGTTTGTCCCCGGCCCTGGTTGGGTCATGCAGGTGGCAACCACTTGACGTGTCCCTTTCACATCAATGTTTCTCTCTCTATCTTCCTCTCTCTCTCTCCCACTCTATCTGAACAAATTACAAAAAATGTCCTCTGGTGAGGATAAAAAAAAAAAATCAACCCTGGCTGGTTTGGTTCAGTGGTTGGAGCACTAACCATGGACCAGAGGGTCTCAGGTTTGGTTCCCAGTCAGGGGCACATGCCTAGGTTGCAGGTTCAATCCCCAGCCCTGGTAGGGGTCTTGCAGGAGGCAGCCGGTCCATGTGTCTCTCTCACATCAAGGTTTCAATCCCTCTCTCTCCCTCCCTCCCTACCTTCCACTCTATTAAAAAATAACCTGACCCGTTTGGCTCAGCAGTTAGAGCGTCTGAAAAATCAATGGAAAAATATCCTCGAGATAAACCACAGAACTTATATGCATGTGTGCATGAACAGTGGACATGGACAACAAAGCTGGAGACAGGGAGGGGAGGGATGGGGAGAGGGTATCAGTGGGGGAAAAAGGAGAAACATCTGTAACAAAAATAAATTAATTTAAAAAAAGAAAGAAAAATATCCTCGGGTGAGGATTAACAAAAAATAAATACATGGTGCTAAGAGGGTGCATGGGGATTTGACCTAGTACAGAAGGATTCTTTTATTTATTTATTTTTATCCTCACCCGAGGACACATTTTTCCACTTTTTGTTCAGATAGAGTGGGAGGGAGAGAGAGGAAGAGAGAGAGAGAGAGACATCGACGTGAAAGGGACACATTGAGTAGCTGCCACCCGCATGACCAACCAGGGTCGGAGACAAACTGCCCTTAGCGGGAACTGAACCCGGTCTCTCTGGACCGCAGGCCGACGCTCTAACTGCTGAGCCAAACCGGCCAGGGTGGAAGGATTCTTTTATTGCTTGGATGCTTCAAGTAACAGAATATTTCCAGCCATAAGAGGCTTAAACAATAAAGGACACTTATTTGTCCCATGTAAGAACTCCCTGGTCCTGGACTAAGCTAATGTAGCAGCTGAAGGACATTAGAGTTCTCAGTCAGCTTCTCTACAATTCTCTTGGCTTCCTTCTCATGGTGACAAGATGGCTATCACATTCTCAACTACATTCAAAGGTAGGAAGAAGGGGACTCCTTGAGTCTTTTTCTCTTTATCTCAGGAAGAAAACTCTTTTGCAGAAGACCCCAACAGACTCCTCCTTAGGCCCCATTGGTCAGAACTGAATCACATGCTTTCGCTAAACCGGGTAGGGAACCTTTTTTCTGCCAAGGGCCATTCGGATATTTATTTTATTATTTTTTTTATCCTCACTCGAGGACATTTTTCCATTTTTTGTTCAGATAGAGCGGGAGGGAGAGAGAGGAAGAGAGAGAGAGAGAAACATCGATGTGAAGGGACACATCGAGTGGCTGCCACCTGCACGACCCACCAGGGCCGGGGACAAACTGCAACCGAGGTACGTGCCCTTAGCGGGAACCGAACCCGGGTCTCTCTGTACCACAGGCCGACGCTCCAACCGCTGAGCCAAACCGGCCAGGGCCATTCGGATATTTATAACATCATTCGCAGGCCATACAGAATTATCAACTTAAAAATTAGCCTGCTCTATTTGGTCAAACATTTCATTAACTCCCCCCTAATGTGTCAGGTTTGTGTCAGTCAGTCTGGAGCACAGTGACTCTTTGTGATAGTAAATTTTGAAAAGAACTGTTCGCAACAGTAAGTTGTTCCGAACACAGATGCACATTTCAATGCATGTCTCCTCAGAGTGGGAAATTCATCATTGCTTATGTAATGTTTATAGAACTCAAGCAGTGGGAGGTTGTACCTAGCTTTCAGCTCATCATCGCTTTGCAGCTGAATGATTTCGTGTTGTAGGTTATCAGGCACATCGGCTGGTTCCACATTGAACAGTGTAGAAAAGATGTGCAGTTCCATTTGTTTATTTTTCACGTCCTTGAGTCTTTCATTAAATGCCTCAATTAGTTTCCCACATTCACCAGCATAATCAAGTGTCCTGGAAGGCTTTTGTCCTTCCAGAGTGGGGAAATGCACCGTGTTATTCCTTTTGGGTTGCACTTTCCACAGCCTTAATTTAGCTTCAGATGATTTCACGTTTGAAGCAGGGAGCTGAGAAGCTGGTTGGGGCCCTGCCGCTTGACATTCAGCTCTGAGAGGTAATGTCCACCATGAATGCTGACTCACACAGCCACTTGCTATCATTGAGTTCCCTGACAGGTTTCCCTTCACCTCTATGAACTGCTTGACTTCATCCTGCAGTTCGTAAAACCTCGTGAGCCATGTTCCTGCGACCCAGTCACCGCACTTCACAGTGATAAACAAGATCACCATACTTGGAGTCAGGATCATTCAGTAACTCTTTCAACTGGTAGCTGTTAAACCCTCTGCTTTGACAAAATTTATGCATGACACTACTGTTGACATTACATTGTTGAGCCACAACGACTGTGCACAGAGGCTTTCCTGGTGTATGATGCAGTGGGACATAATTAAATCACTTAGATCAAGACTGAGATGATTCAGTTCTTTCTTGACAAATGCAGTGAACCATATTTCCAACCATGGCTGGAGCTCCATCTATAATAAGGCCACTTAATTTTCAAATGTTAGCTCAAGATTGTTTTATTGATAAAACAAGTCCTCTCCTCTTGTAGTGTCATGCATGGCTTCCAGTGACAGCAGTACCTCTCATGTGTCAAACTCTGAAGTTATCCCACAAACAAAAACGGCCAGTTGGGCAGTATTTGTTATGTCTGCTGTCTCGTCACAAGCCAGAGAGAAAAATTGGAAATCTCCTGCAGAATCCTTCAGTATTTTTTCAACATCTTGTACTAAGTTAGTGATCCGATCTGAGACAGTTCTCCAAGACAAACTAACCCTCTCAAACAACTTTACTTTGTCTGATGCTAACATTTCTGCAGCAGCCACCATGCACTCTTCACAAACTCTCCCTCTACATGAGGCCTCAGCTTCTTTGCAATTAGCTCGCTCACTACATAACTTGTCTGAATAAGGTTGTCTCTGTCACAATGAGGCCTAGTGAAAGCGGTTTGTTGTGATTCCAAACTCCACTGAAGAACATTGGTTTTATCCAGATGCATTTGGCCTCCCAATTCATTGAGTTTAGCACGTTTTGATCTGTAATGATGCTTGATTGGCTTTTTTCATTACTGCTAACGCATCACCACAAACTAGGCACACAAGTTTGCCTTTGACATCAGCAAAAAAAATTATCATTTGCCCTGGCCAGTTTGGGTCAGCGATTGGAGCATTGGCCTGCAGACCAGGCAGTCTCAGGTTCGATTCCAGTCAAGGGCATGTACCTCGCTTGTGATTCGGGTCCAGGCCCTGGTCTGGGTAGTGCAGGAGGCAACCGATTGATGTGTCTCTCTCACATCAATGTTTCTCTCTCTCCTACCCCAACTCTATCTGAAGATAAATGGAAAAATATCATCAGGTGAGATTTTAAATATACATATATATATATATATTTGTCTACTTCTCTTAGAAAGATCTACCACTGCATCAACTTTTCGTTGTAGCTGTCATTTATAGGATGTCACACCACTTAAATTTTAATAACTATCCAGTGCGTGTATAGCCAGCAACACAATTATTTTGCTTTGCTTGCTGTTCTAACCCTGCATCTTGGATTTGGAACATATCCAATATTCCTATCATCAACTCTTGAGGTTTTTTCTGTGTACTGTAATTTCCTTAATCTTCATCTAAGATTCAGTTTTTTCGAGAATTGTTGATCATGGAAGTGTGGGTAAAGGTTGGATTGGAGTTATCATCTGTGTCAACAAAGAAGTCGACAACATCATCATCAGTCATCGGAAGCAAAGTCATCAATGTCA